ACAGCCAACACTGATGCTGTCAGTAGGGCTGGTGCTCCCCCCGACAGGGCCGCTGGTGGCGGCTTCTACAGGTGCCCCCCCAGATTCAGGAGGCCCCCCCAGTCACTCATGACCATAGCATCATGTGTATTAAGCCCTTACATGTTTAAAAATGGCCATGGGGTGCTTTAACTAAACCTCATTAAATGAGGTTTAGATAAAGTGTGCTGCAGCCATTTTTAAACATGTGAGAGCTTTATGCACATCATGCTGCAGTGTTTTAATTAGAGGGCTGCCTGGGAACCACTCTAATTAAAATGCTCCCCTCCCACCTCTGGGCATGTGTATAGGCAACCCTAGTGTCAGGGTACTGTTACAGCACCTCATGGGACAGCTGCCCTGAGATAGCTGTCTGTTTTAGCTCCTAGTAGTGTCAGTGTGATGTTGTAGTCGTGATGGCCCAGAAATGGTGCGAGAGACAAGGATTTCTTACGGTGCTATCTTTTATTGGACCAACTATGCCATTGAGATAAAATTAAACAAGCTTCTGAATGCAAGACATTGAATGTGAGACCTGAAAAAAAATGTCTTACATTCGAAAGCCTCTCTAACTTTAGTCCCAATGACATAGTTGATCCAGTAAAAGATATCATCCTAAGACATCCTTGCTTCTTGATAGATCCTAGTGTAATTTATATTGATGTGTAAAACCAATGCAAATGACATTGATATGGATCTCACATGTCCAGGTCCTGGGGGAACTGAGGTCCAGGTCAGTGATTCAAGTTCCTATTGATTTCATCTGAGTCAAGCTCAGACACTCGGTAAAAAAAGCATGTGATTTGGCAACGGGCATTCGGCTTGTTAGCAAAAGTACTTACTGACAGGCCCTTTCAGAGAAGAACATACAAACAGCTTGGCAGGTGTTTTCTGGACTGATGTAAAAAGACAACCTGCCAGCATCCTGTCTGTGCTTCTGGGAACTGCTGAGTATCTGGGGAGAGTCAAGCTCCGATAACATTTCCCAGCTGGTCCCAGTTTAATCCAAGAGCCAGCAAATCAAATCACTGAAATGAATGGAGCTGACTCCACTTGACACCATGGTTGAACTTGGCACTGACTTTCTGCAGAGTTTCCCTGTTCCATCAGCTGCTCTGGATTCAGAGGGTTTGTTTCAGAGGGAGGTGGAAATCAGGCAAAGGAAATCCAAGACTGCAACTTCCACTTGCTACTACTTCATGCTCCTTTAAGACTTGCTTCGACTTGTGCCATGAAGTTTGCATCCACTGTTTATATATCGCTTCTGGCTTTGCCCCCCGAGCTCTGTGAAGTGATTGGATTGTAAAGCATCTTCTGTAGAGCTAGAAGAGCGGGGGCATGGCAAGAACAGAAATGAAAAGGCATTTTTAAGAGTTACGTATTAATGCTTAGACCGCAACGTATTTTTGTCTGACACCCACGTATGCAAGGAAGTCTTTGTTCTTCACGTACATGTTCCATCGGGGTATCAGTTAATCTAAGGATGCATGGGCTACACCTACTGAGCTGTCTCCACTGACCTCCATGGGGCTCAGCTGGTTCCCGCAACCTGGGGAGCCAGCCCTCCGAGGACTTAGACACGTGACATGTTTACTCTGGTGTAACCTGCCTTTACACCTGTGTAAAGACTAAGTGGACACATAAGGCTAAATCCTCTTTCACCTTTGTGCACCTTAGTGGCACTTTTGTAGCAATGTCAGTGCCGTTTTTGGCATTCGCTGGTAGCTGAAGTCTATTTCTACCCCGGTAGCATAGGATCATCCAGGCCCCTGCTGGAAGGAGGGGATGAGAAGAGCCCACCCACCTTTTCCCATAGAATAGTAGTCCACACACTTTCCTGCCTTGAGCAGGGGTCTTTTCTGCATCTTGTATTCAATATTCATTAGATTGCATAGATTTCATAGACATTAGGGCTGGAAGGGACCTAGGAAGATCATCGAGTCCAGCCCCCTGCCCAAAGGGCAGGAAGTTAGCTGGGGTCATAGATTGAATGAGTAATATTCATTAGACTGGATCAACAGCAGTGGGGTCAGAGGCCGGGGTCAGGGTCCAGCTCCCTTCCCCTCCAGGGCAGCATCAAAGATAAAAAAAGATACCCTGGAGATCTTTAAAAAAATATCTTGACATGCATCTTGCTGGGGTCATCTGACCCTAGCAGTTTTTCCTGCCCAAGTGCAGGGGGGCTGGACCCGATAATCTCGTGAGGTCCCTACCAGCCCCTAACATCTATGAATCTATGAATCAGTCCATACTCTCTCACACACCACAGGTTGAGTCTTTGTGTTCATATACTCCCCTCCTTCGTGTTAGATCATCATCTCCTTCAGACTGTTGACTTTGGGGTTGAAAGTTCATCGTGACTCATAAGTGGACTTACAAAAACAAGGTCTGGTACCTCTGGGAACAGCCTCCGCTAGAAGCAGTCAGCGAGCCTTGCTCTTATTTATACAGCTTAGTGGCTTGGAGACAGAGAGAGAGCAGGGGTTTTTTTAGTCAGGAAGGATTAAGGCAAAGTCCTTGGATCCTGCAGCTGGAAAGGGTCCAGAGGCAGCAGTGTGCTCGGGCAGAGGAGCAGGTTAGGATGCTACTCAATGCCAGGCACCCTGGGTTGGTGTGGGCAGCATGGGCTATTGCACTTGGGAGAAAGATCAAAAATTCAAGAGATGCTTCTAATTGGGGGTCCAGGGCTGGCCTAGGTTGGGAGGAAGAATCTATCCAGCATACCTTGAATATTTGGCTCCAGGCCTCAGTGATTGGTATTTATCCATTGCCATTTATTAGGTATGGTTGGAAAGGAGAACAAGCCTTTTACGGCGTCATGACTGTGTCTGTGGTGATCAGCATGCTAGCGTCTGACCCTACGTGCACCCTGGAGCTGGTTTGCTGAGGCTGACCACACGTTTCTCCCATGGGGCCTGGGGCATCAAGTACCAAACAGGAGCCCTTCCTACCCCTTCTTCACTTAAATGATTTGGGGGTGGAAGTCCTGCTGTTGACTCCTCCATCCATCTTTCACGCTCTCCTTGTTACCTGTTTAGCTGTAGTCATTGATAAAAATAACAGAGCTAGCTGGAAGCAGAGAGAGCTGGGAAAATAGACTGGATTGAAGCACACCCATAGCAACTGAAGGCCCCTATTCAGAGACGTTAGCAGCCAGGGTCTGCACCCTGGACTGGAGCAGCAGCAAGGCCAGCCTGGCAGGGACAGCAGCTGCATTTTCCATCCTCCTCCTCTCAGTGGGTGCCTGGGACAGGTGCCCTGGTTGCCCACAACGTGGCTTGCTACTACCCCTAGTTCTTCCACCATTGAAATCAATGGCAAGGCTCCTATTGAAGTCAGCAATCCAGGATAAGCCCTTAAAGGCGTATACAGTGGCTGCCATGAAAATGGTTGTATTTCATGTTCTTTGAAAGGAACGGAGATGGAGCTCAGGGGGCAGGATTCAGCCCTAGTTACCAGAATAGGGGATGTGAAAATTTCTGTACAGGAGCAGGCCAGTGCTCCTTTAGAAACCCTGAGAATACCAGTAGCTGATGCTTCAGGGAAGAAACCCAGTACAGAACAACGTGGAATAAGCAGAATAGCATTTAGCATGGAAGAGCCTATAATCAGCACCGCACCGTTTGCAGTCTCCTCTACCTGAATAAGAGAAACAACTGCATACTTAGCACTTCCGCAGAACTAGTCACCTTCTGGGCACTTTAGAGTCATCAGCCAATTAATCCGCACAAAATCCCTGTGGGTGGATCAGTCACAGCCTAGCTATTGTACAAAACCCGGAGTGGATTAGTGCAACTCTGGGTCCTACTCAGGACGTTACACAATCCGTGTAGCGCCATGTTGTTCACGGAGCTGTGTGCAGCCGACAGTATTTGATCTGCGCTGTCTGCATGGAGAGGTCTGGGGCAGCTGGAGAGCAGATGCGGAGCGGTGGGGAACGTAATAGAGATCTGGCCCATTGCAGGAAGCTTCTGAGTGGCCTCAGGGCTACTGATGAAACTCTACCCCGAAACAGGAAAGAAGGGCAAACAAGCAAGCATGCAATCAAAAATATTACGGCAGTGATCACCTGATGAGATGAGCAAGACCTGCACCACACAGCACCAGGATAATTATCAGTACCAGTCCCAGCATCACCATCATAGGTTCAATACCTACGTGGAAGGGAGAAAACAGATCAGAAAGAGTGTCGATTTTAGGAGATAGACAATGACATGACCCCTGCCTCCATGCTAGTGTTACAAAGCCGAGCACCCAAAAATGAGGGGCTGCCTTTTGGTGTTAATTTGGCCTTCTCGCATACATTAGGACAGGCTTGTCCAACTGGCAGCCTACAGGCTGCATGCAGCCTCTGAGGACTTAACTCACAGCCCATGGTCTCCCTCCTGGGTACCACTCCCAAGATCACTCCTGCTGCTGCTGGCACTAGTTTCTCTGGGCTCCCATTACTTCCTTCAGCTACTGCTTCCTACCCCTGCCCTTAGAGGTGAGGCACAGCATCCCTGGGACCTGGGGGAGCCCTTGGATGTGCAGCCTCTGGCCACTCACAAGAGGGACAGCCCTGAATAAGGACATGCCCTGGAATTACATCACCACATCCTGCTTTTGTCATTGGACCCCTACTTCATTCAGTGCACCAGATGTGCAGGAAAAAGTGTGTGACCACGTGCATAAAGGTAGTATCATAATGTGGATGGATTAAGAGACAGAATGAGGGCTGCACCATCAGCTTTTATTCTCTCACTCGGAGTGCAACCATTTTCTGATGCCGCTTTTAATCCCTTCCCTAAACTTTTATGAAGAAAAAAAATCCTAGAAACTACAATGCAAAATTTTCAGCCCATGGACTCCCACTGACTGCCACATTGGTCATCAGAAGGGCTGGGACCTCTAGATCCATAGTGTTACTTGGTGAGCGAGACAACAGAGTATCTGGCAGCAGTAGAAGGTTGTTATCTACCATGCATATCTCTCAGTAGAAAGGATGGAGCTCCATACGTTGCCAGGATGTTTCATAGCTATGTCCCAGACGGCAAATGAAGGGTGAGACTAGGACCTAGAGGGTTTAGTTCTGGTGTCTGTTGTGCCCTCCTTCTGCCTTACCTCCCCTAATCATCCCCTGGCTCCCCTCTGCCATTACCCCTTCCTAGTATCTGCCCATCAGCCCCTGTCGCTGCCCACCTACTTCTTCTGTCCTTTCTCCATCTCTTACTTATGTTCTCCCACTGTGTTGCTATCTTCATCTTCTCCTACTCTCCTGCACTTCCCAATGAACTCCTCTCTGTTTTCAGGCTCCCCCCCACCCCCTGCAGCTTCCCAGCTCCTACTAGCTGCCCTGCCACCTGCTGCTTTTCCTGTGAGTTTTTGCTGTCCATCTCTCTGTTTTCACACTTCCTCCACACCTCTTGTAATCCTCCCCTTCCCCCCACCCCCTGCAGCTTCCCAACTCTTCTTAGCTGTCCTGGAGTCTTTCTCCAGCTTCCAGCACCCACTGCCACTCCCCTGCAACTTCTCTAGC